TATCAAAAAATTTTTATGTGAAAAATTTTTCAAGAAAAAAAATTTTTAATGTAGAGAATTTGGTGTGTGTATGTGTGATTTTTTTTTTAATTTTTTCCTCGCCCCGTTTTCGAGATATTTGAAAAGCTATTAACTCGATTTGTTTTTGTTTTTGTGCTGTCAAATTTTTAAAAATGTATTAATCATGCTCGAATTTCTTATTTATTTATTGCTTATGTTTATCCATCAACCCTAAAAACACATGAAGTGTGAACCCCGTCCATTTTGGTATGGAACGCCCCACATATAGTATATATGGTATACACATAGTATGTAATAAGAATTAAGTATTTGTGCTCGTTATGCCGGACTTAAAATGTCTACATTTCTAACTGGCCACTCGTTTTATTAAGTTGATAAAATATACGATCCTTCAATAAACATATTTATATTTTTGTATATGTATAATTTAACCATAGGATGGAACAAAGAACTCCTTCCATTAAGGAAATATAAATATGCGGATTTCTGAAATATTAAAAAGTTAAAGCACGCGTATATTTAAAGCCAAATTTAGATGTACCTTGTTTAAAAATTTATTATTTCTAATAAGAATTGAGTTATGTGGAAATTGTAAACAAAATGTAGTAGATTTTAAGCCTTGTGTGGTAGATGTGGTAGTAACCCAAACTTTAATAAATATGTTGTTCTAATCCTTCCAGTCTTCGCGTATAAAATCGGCCGCCTTTTCACCAATCATAACTGCAGCCGCATTTGTATTGGCACTGGGTACCGTTGGCATAATACTAGCATCAGCCACACGCACGTTGTCAACACCGCGAAGCTGCAAACGTGGATTCACACAGCTCGTTTCGTCGGTTACAGGGCCCATTTTAACCGAACCCGTCTGATGATAGGTGGTGGAAGAAAAGTACTTAAGGTAGCAACGCCAATAATCATCACTTCTCAGTTCATAGGCATCGCATTCGTCAATACTGGGTAGTAGCATTGTAGCGTTCGCTGCCTTGTAGGCAGTCGTGTTCACTAGCTGCTCGTGGAAGCGCATTGCCCGCACTAGAGTGTCCACATCTTCGGAATCGCTAAAGTAATTATGTACCAACTTAGGATCGGCTTTGTAATTGGCGCTCTGCAGTCGCACATAGCCTTTAGATTTGGGATTTAAAAGAAAATTAAACATAACTAAAATATCAGCTGTTTCGAGCGCCTTGGATATTTGATTGGCAATTTTATTGTTCAAGTTAACACCACTAGCGAATAGTTTCAAAGTAGCTTGATTATTACGTCGGATTTTTAGATGTAGAACCCCGACATCCGGGTATGAATCGTTCTTAAGCGTATTAATGAAGCCCGCAATTGAGGATGTCCTGTCCAATGTTCCATTCTGATGAATTAAATATTTGTAAACGATATCAAGACTGTCGACCGTTTTGTAGTTCGGTGCGACATTCTCCCTTAATTTGAGGAAAGTCCAAACATTTACATGATCATACAAGTTGTCGCCTACCGGCAAGTCCTGCACAACGGGAATATTCAATTGCTCCAAATGTTCCGCTGGACCCACACCAGACAACATTAACAGCTTGGGCGAATCTATTGCGCCTGCGGATACAACCAACTCTTTGCCAATGCTCACATTCAGCTTATATTTGTCCTGAAGTATAAAGCTCGCCGAGTTAACTTTTTTTCCGCTATCATCGAAATTCAACTTGGTTACATACGCTCCTTTGATCACATGCAGATTAGACCGTGGCGAAACTCTCGACAGATAGCCCTTGCCGGTACTCGTGCGATGTCCATTTTCTATTGTGCGAGGCAATTTGAAATATCCCAGTTCGCTAACATCATTAAATTCCCATTTCTGCGGTATGCCCAACTCCTCGGTTCCCTGTGTGATCATTCCCGCTAAATCCGTGTCAGTGTCCGGTAATTCACTGACTGTGAGATATCCTACTAGATTCGNACCTACCCACTAGTGGTGCGGCGATAGTTCTTCAGAAACCATCGATAACTATCGATAGTTTTTTAAACTTACAATTTGGCTTTATATTGCGCTTGGCTTATTTCTTACAAAATCAGTAAATCGCTTGCTTAGAGTGAAAAGTTGCTAAGACCATTTCTAGAAATTTTACAGGTGAGGAAGAAACTTCTCGCAGCCTTTTTTTCAAGAATTTTGCGAAACTTTTAATAAAACATATTACGTGTTTAAAGCAAAGCAAAGCTTCATACGAATTAGAAATATGCGTTGCTAATTAAAACAATTTGAATTTTTTTAGAACTATTTAAGTATTTTATTTAATATCAGATATTATCCTTATTTAGTTCTTTTTACGAATCTATCCTCTTTTTCACTTATCAAAGCAAATGCTGGTAAATTTACGCTGCCGAACTATCTTTTATTAAAAGATGCGGCCAGGTTGTCTCAAATGCAAGTTGACAATAAGCTTTAAAACAATAATACAAGAAAAATAAAAACTATCGATGGTGGTACGATAGTCAAAAACCATCGATAGTATCGTTAGTGCCATCGATAGTTTCAGAACACAACTACCCACACACCAGCATTTGGAAGATTAATAAAAATCACCTCGATCACCTTTGATGATTAAAAATTGATTAATCGCTTAGGCGATAAAAAAAACACTCGAAAATGACTCGCCCTTACGCTTGAAAAGTGATTTATTGGAAAAACGAAAACAAACAGGATCGTTGCAAGTACACATGACGAAGAACCCGCACAATTCGTAAAATGGATTTCTTAATTTTAACAGTTTTAATTTTCATACACATACGTACAAAAGTATTGGCACAAAGAACATTTCAGAATGCGCAAATGCCAAAAATCAACGCGATTTTTTAGCAACTTGGAACTGTTATTGCACTAAAATTTAATGGGCTACAAAACTGCATACACAAATTCTTTCTAGAAAATCTACTTAAAAAGTTGCAAATTCATTGAATTTTTCTAAGTTCTGCATAAAATTTAGACATTTTATTTTTTTTGTTTTTTTTTTTGTAATATGAGCTATGTTTTTTATAAAAAATTAGTGAAAAGAAATTGGAACTAAAGCTTTGCATACATTGTGAAAAGTTCTCTGTGTAAATTACTTTTATACGGGAGGGAAATTTTGGAATATTTTCAAACCGGTTGAAAAATGCATGCTCTGGACTATTTCGAACAGTAAATTCCAGGTTTGGACCACTGTGCAGCGGCGGTTTACCCTGGCAGTTCTGATCAGTGGTACGCAGGGACCGTAACAGTTACAACTTTACGATTAAAAAAATCACTCTTTAACAATTATTTTTGACTTATATTTAATTACTCATTATTTCTGACTTTTATTTTATAAATCCAGACTAACAATAAAATTTGATTTTTATCCAAATAATCTGCAAATAACAGTTATTTTTGATTTTTAAATTATATGTCTTAGCTAACAGTTATCGAAGACTTTTATTTATAAAAGTCATAAATAAAAATCACTCACTGACCTTTATTTTCTTAAATCATACTTATAAGATGTAAAAGTCGTAAATAGTAAACTTTTGTTTCTTAACACCTTCTTAACTGCGAAAAATTTTAATGACTTTACGGATGATTTAAATTGATTACTTTTAAAAGTAAAAGCCACTGACTGATTTTTATTGATGACTTCTATAAATAAAAGTCTTCAATAACTGTTATCTAAAACATATAATATAGAAATTAAATTTAATTATTATTATTTTTAATTTATTATTTTTTAATTTATTTTTGTAATTTTTTTAATTTTTCATAAAAATTCCAAATAAAAATTTATTTTCAAACTTGATTCTCGATGAACGTGCGAACTCAAACTATTTCACAAAAGTCATGTATTTAACCCTTCGCTCCCCGAACTTTTTGACCTAGGAAAAAATATTTTGAATTTTAGTTAAAATATTCTTAAAAGTTTATAGTTTTAAGGCCTTTTTATGTTTCGAATATCAAATAAATATACTACATATATTTCTAATAAATATTCATTTTTACCCACACCTGCTACTGACTAGCCCGCAGTCCCGAATTAGGAAAATAAAGATTAGTATCCATATGGCCACCATCGGCAGGAAAGGGTAAAATAGTGTGGCCTCATTTTTTCACATATAACACATACAAGTATACACTTAAGTTCACTTCCTCAAGCACATTTATATGAACACACAATTAGTTCCACCCACAGCCTCCACATAATCCATGTAATTTAAATTTGAAATTGTAACTTACTTTTCGCACTCAACTGCCAACAGTTCACAAATTACGCGCCGCACTCCCTCACTTCACATACATATGTACATACATATTCTCCCTAAGTGAACCGTTGTTACAGCAACTAATCGGAGCAACTAGCCTGCAGCGACTCGCAACACTTACGGCCTGACACTCGTGTAATCCTGCAGGCCCACTTTTAGGCCGCCGATAACAGCAATCGCAATTGTGGTGGGTGTGTTAAAACCAAGGCAGCCGAAGGCAAGCGTAGTAATACGTGCGCATACATGTACATACATGTAAATGGGCGACGACAGTCCAATACTAGCATTAAATATGTATTCCAAACAGGTGCAGTAGTTCCGACTGTCAAATTGTTTGACAATTACTGCTACTCGTTTGTTTGTATGTAGGTATATACATATGTAGATCGACAGTCGGACGACGCTTATCGCCCTTTCAAATGTCACACACTGCCACGATTTGTTTTTTTTTTTTTTGTTTTTTTGTTTCTCCGTTGACTCGCAGACACTTTGACACTCTGACGCTTGAAATGGGCACACTGCTGCAGTACTAATGTTTATTTCAGTTACAATTTGGCTTTTGGCTCCCAAATGTAGGCTGTTAAGCGAAAAAGGGGGTCGGCCGCAGCGATATCATGTCACATGCAGTCAATTTCAAATATTTGCACTGCACTTTGCTTTGGGGTTTTGTGCTCAGTAAATGCAATTAACTGGGCATGCAGCCATGCACACATATGCGAGAGTTTGCACTGGCAATTTGTGGGCGCACTTGGAATGTAGAGCAAAATTTTTTAGTCGCACATTTTCATGAATATTTTAAATATACATACATACACTTTTACTTAAGTATGTAAATTGGTTTGACATGAAACACTTTAATTTACTGCTGAATTTTTTATATTTTTAAGGGTTTTCAATGCACAAACACAAATACGCATACACAAACATATCAAGAAATTTGCAATAAAGAAATTGTTGCACTTGGTGATTTTTGAAACTTTGCGTTGTGATTTTTAAATTTTATGCACTTAATTTTTTACTGTTTTTCCACTCATATTTTTAATTATTAGACCTACTGTCACCAATTTGAATTTTTTTTGTTCATACATAAATATGTATGTATGTACATATGTAATTATGTATATCATCCTTTATCTTTTCTTTTTTTTTTATTTTTAGTTACATTTTCAAATCACTTACTTTTTCAAAAAAAAAAAAACAACTGCTAACCACAATTTCCGTTACCCTTACTACTTAGTTTTGCTAGCGCACGTCTATCAACTACCGAATGCCGACATCAACTGAAGTTAAATATTTCTGCGTTCAATGTATAAAAATAACTATGAGGAGCTTTTCATTTACCGCCTATAAGAGTTTATGCTACAGCTGGTCACCTTAGTGGAGCTTTAAGCTCAATGTTTTAGAGAAATTTTGCCCATTGCATAGCATACACCAAGGCGCTAAAGCGTGCTCCCTGTTTTTGTTTACGAATTACTTTAACAAAGCAGCCAACAAAAAATAGCAGAAAAACGACTCGCTATTGCCATTGTATATATGTATGTATGTATATATGTATGTTATCCCCAATGGAGCCGGCTAAGTGTGGTGGCATCTAACCACATGTTGCTTCAACTTTGCCGACAGCAGCGTAGAAATAAAATTGGTATAGGCGGAATTTGTGAAAGGCAACACTGACAATCGGTATGCGGTATAGCATGGCAAATTGACTATTTCAGGAGTAAGGAAAAAGAATTTTAATTTTTATTTTTTTCAAAATTTAAAGGTTTTTGTATTGTATTTCTATGCTATGATAGGTATCCATACTCCTTCGCCTACGAAAGAGCAGACCTGAAAGCACGACTGGACTTGTCTGAGTGCTGACTTAGGGTGGCTGGAAGTGTAAGAAAATGCATTGAAATATTTCGATAAGAGTTGAAATATATCCAGTCATCAGATCAGAAATTTATCTATCGAAAGTTATTCAGTTTCTTATCACCGTCGTTTATAGTTATCTAAATTTTTCAGATCGTCCATCGTTTATTAAGTTATCGGTATGGTTCGAGTGATTGAAATTTAACAATGTTTGCTGAGTTATCGAAATTAATCGAGACGCTGAAGTTGAGTTGTCGAAATGTACCGATAGTTATCGAGTTATAAAAATTTGCCAGATTATCGAAATTTTACAACGTAATGAAATTTTATTTTATAAGATAGTTATTGAAAAATTTACAAAATTTATAGAGTTAACGAAGTTTATCGGGTTAACGAAATTTTTCGAGGTGCCTGCATGTGTCGAGTTCTTTAAATTATCGAGTTATCTATATTTATTGATTTATCGAATTTTCTTGGTAGTTGTGGATATTTGGCGGTTTATGGAATCGAAGTTTTCGGAATTTTCAAAGTATATCGGGTTATCAAAATTTATAAAATCACATGAATTTATCATTATTTATCGAATTTTATCGAGTTACCACAGTGTATCGAGTTATCGAAATTGGTCCATAGATATGGAAATATATCGATGAGCTATCAAACTTGTGCTATCGATATATATATCTAAATTCATCGATAGCTATCCAAATTTAAAGAGTTATCGAATTTTATAGACTTAGAAATTTATTGAGCTATCAATACTGATCGAATTGTCGAAATTTATCGACTAACTGAAATGTACCGAATTAGCTAACTTAAAAAAAAACTTTTAAACTGTATCCAGCTATCGAGAATTATCGAGATATAAAGTGCCACCATGCTTCCCGTGTCACCCTAATTGAAAACTGTGTTAAATCTTCGTCTGAATTTTCCTCCTCTCCATCATTTTACTTTGAGGCGTAATATGAAAGTCGCCTCATGAAATCCAGCTTGTAAATTCTCTCAAATCACTTGGTAATGGAATATGCCAACTTCTCGTGAAATACTTAAAATGATTACTGCTCTTTTATCAATGCAGAAAAATACTTTAATTTTGCTTAAATTAAAACCGATAAGAGATGTTGCGAACGTGGAATTTTAAACGTCCGCGGATGCGAATGCGGATGACAAGTATTTTTAAGAAATTTTTTAGGTTATTAAGGTTTTTTATTTAATACTTCAATTAAAAAATTGGAGCATTATATTTAATAAAAAGTAATGTTGCTGCCTTTTCAGTTTCCAGCGTGTTTATGAAAGGATCGTAAATCAAACCTGCACAACTAAATAACCGCTCGCTCGGAACACTTGCTGGTGGAGGCGAAAAATAACTGCGTGCTAAACTTGACAATATTTTAAATTCGTTTCGATTGATGCTTGATTGACCAGTTGAAAGCAACAGCTGTTCTCTATTATTATGGCTTCTTCCTTTGCAATTAGATCCTAACGAGTGTGTCGCTTTTTCCGTACATCGACGTGTGCACTCACTCCCAACCGAACGCAAAGAAGTTTCACTTCAAAAAACCGCTTTGCAGATCATTAATTCTAAACTTATGCGCTCTAG